GCCGCCCCGTTGTGGAGAGAGGGAAGGGCACTCAGAAGGGTCATGTAGCCGCAGAGCTCACACCCACCTAAGCGGGGCCTCAGGCCCTGGAAGGTGGACGAGCGAAGCGCCAACTGTGACCACCAGCCTGGGCTCTGAAGGAGCTGCCCTTCCAGGCGACCATGAACATGGGGGCCTTTCAAGGTTTTATCCCACCGCTCACCCAGGGTCCTCTTTGCACAAGCCCACGGTGCCGACGCAGCACTTGCCAAACCCCTGTAAGGGGTGGACTGCTGTGCTGACCTGTTCCCAGACTGGCCGCGTTCCACGGACTGATCGGCTGACTGACCGACGGTGCCGGCCAGGCGGCAGAGGAGACCAGCGCTGCCTCTGGTGCGACTGGCGTCCCCCAGGCGTCGACCCTCTGGGCCTGCACCTCTGTCCCCAGGGCCTGGCGCAGGGCCTGGCCTTGCAGGTAGCTGCTCAGTCACACGTTTCAAAGGCTCAGCTTAGGTTTGGGTTCGTGGCTGAGAAGAGCACACTTGTTAAAAAAATTTTTTTTAATTGTAAAAAATTTATAAAGAGCAGTTTTAGAATCACAGGGAAACGAGGGGAAAGGACAGATATTCCATATGCCCTCCGCCTCCCCCAACCACCCCTGGTAACAACACCCCCATCCGATGGGACATTTGTCACAGCTGAGGAATCTGCACAGACACGGCGTTGTCACCCAGGCCCGCCGCTGACATCAGGGTCACTCTGTGCTGCACGGCTGTGGGTTGGGACAGACATACAAGACACACGTCCATCATCACAGCACCACACAGGGTACTTCCCCTGCCTGGGAACACCCCCGCTCCGCCGCCCCTCCCCGCCCCCACACCTGCCGCCGCCCACCTCTCTCCTGTGTCCACAGTCCTGCCTTGTGCAGCACGCGGCGTGGTTGTTGGAGGCCGCCTTTCCGGGCTGTCCCTTCCACCTGGACACCGCATCAAGGCTCCTCCGCACCTTCCCGTGGCTTCCCGGCTCGTCCCTGGGAGCGGAGGGCACAACTTTCACCCCACAGAAACGCAAAGCGCTTTTCCAGGGCCCTGGAACTTAGACTGAACGTGGGACCACACGAACTGGAGGTCACTGTCCCCGGGGAGGCCCAGGGAAGGACAGCTTTTAAATGACAACAGCGATGGCAGCCGGATGCAGGGATCCCCATCACAAGACTCAGACCGGGTGACCCCGCTCCAGGATATGTGGGGGCGCAGGCCAGTCCCGCGAGCAAGCGAGCTAGGCTGCTGGCTGGCTCACACGTGCGGGCTCACATCCGAGCGCGCGTGGCTCTGACAACGCGAATTCACGGGAAATGGGAAGCTGCTGTGAACGCCCGAGAACCTCAGCAACTCCCGGAGCCCCTGACCTCAGCGAGGGCAGTGCGTAAATGCAGACGGGCCTGCCCTGCCAGGCCTTTGGCGAGCCCGTGGGATGGTCCACGCGGGGCGTCGTCCCTGAATGTGACCCAAAGCGGCGAACTGAACACCCACCACCCAGGCTTAGGCTGAAAGGATGAGAGATGCGGCCTGAGTCCGAGACCACGGGCTGCGCGGCTGCGGAGGGGCAAGCGCGCCACCTACTGGCCGACCGGGCGCTGCGCGGGCAGAGGGGCCCCGGGCGCTGCTGGCAAGAGCGGCTTCAACGCTGTGACCCGGGTGGGGAAGCCGGGAGGATTCCCAGCGCGTGAACTCTGAAAGCAAAGCCTGCCTGCGTACGAAGTGGGCCTGCTTCGTACTGTGCGCCGGCGCACAGGGCCCCCCCCACGCCCCGTCCCCCGCCCCAAGTGTCATCACTGAGAAAGGCAACAAGGCCCAGAACCCCTCGTGGCATTAACGTGTATGTCATGGGGTGCGTGGAGGGGCAAGGGACTCTCTCCGCACACCCCACGTTTTGCAACTTTGAGTTGGGGCTACATCCTACCCTGAATTACATGGGGGGAAGCTAAGGGGCCACGTATATCAATCCCAAGTCAAAACTAAGCCAGATCCTGCTTTCAGCAGTTACTGAACATCAAGGACTCGAAAGTCTGCACGTTGTCATAACCTTACTCAGTTCCACGTGGACACTGTCCACCCACCTCCACCGCCAGGTCACTCACATCACTTCCTGACGCTGGGGAAAACCCTTAGGACCGCCGAGAGCGGAAAGTGGGGTCCCCATAGGCAAATGAAACGTTCTCCCCACCCCTCACCGGATGGGGTCCCCCCCCCTTCTCGCTGGGAGTCCTGGAGATGAGACGGAGACAGACTAATTCCAGGAGAGACTCCCGGAATTCCTGTTTGGGTTGTGCGGCATTTCTTAAGGCTGTTTTCTCACCGGTGACTCTACCGGGCCCGACAAGGCTCTCTGATCCCACCCGCAGGACACTATGGGGAGGAGGGTTTTGCCCCTCCTGCCTTACAGAGTCAGGGGTGGTGGCAGGCTGCCTCCCCTCCCCCGGCCCGTGCTCTCAGGGCTTTGCAGCAGCGCCTGCCACACTTTTGAGTAAAGCCCAGGTTACAGCTCCACATGCGGGGTGAGCCAGGGTGGAGGTGGCTCCCTTCTTCCGTGGTGACTCTAGGACTCTGGGGGGCAGCTTGGGGGTCGGGGAAGAACAGGGGGGCCTCATCGCCGGGGTAAGCAGCTGGCTCCCAGGGCCTTTGTGACTTACTCCAGAGCTCTGTGACTACGAGTGTTCCTGGTGCACCCACGAGGAACCTGAGGCCCAGGCGGGTGAGGGGGTTCCTGCGCAGTCACAGAACGAGCTGGAAAAAGCTGGAGGAGAGGCCAGGTATCACGGCCACCCCGTCTCCTGAGCACACGGCTTCCCTCCGAGGTACAGCGAGCCCAGCTCATGGCTTCCCTGGCTGAGCGCACTTCAGGTAGAAGAATGAAAAATGCCAAGTTGCCCTTCTTTTAGCAAATGCCCCATCTCCTAAAGCAAGTTAAAGACAAATGGTCCCCTTTAAATCCAAGTCTTATGGGTCATTGTGACATCCTCAATTATCCCGGTTGGTTGTGTTCTGTTTGTTTGTCTTCTTAATTACAGCCTAAAGAACAAAAACCCACGTTGTTCATTCCCTTCCCAGCCTCCTCGCCCCCTCCCCCACCCCCACCGTGCCAATTTGAAAATGCACCAGAAAATTCCCCAGCGGGCTGGAAACCTGTCCACGGCCAATTCCAGCTGGAAAGAATCGCGTTCCGCCGAGACGTAGGCCCCATTCATAATGGAAACCCTGACGGGCCACGCGGTAATTACAGTTTTGCCATAATGAATGTTTCTGTGTGGTCAGAGTCCTGGATTTTTCCATGGTGTTTTTCCATGGGAGAGCCCTCCCAGAGAGATGTGAACCGAAAATCTGGGTTGCAGCTCCGACGGCGGAGCGGGGTCGCTCCCGGCACCGTGCAGCTGGAAGGTGGCGGTTGTGCTGACTTTGGGGGTCATGACCAGCCAGGGGCACATCAGTCAGACTGAGTTTTGAAAGATGGGCGGGGAGGGGGTGTAGGAGCTATTTCAGGAGACTTCCTTCTCTCCCAGATTCGTGACCATGAACTTTTCACTCTGCTCTCTGACTTGGTGGCCAAGGAACGTAGAAAACGTGAGTCCTGCTAACAAGACTTAGGGTGGCAGCTGTCCTGATGGGCCTTGAGCTTGGGTTTCAGCCCCAAGTGCTCATATACCAGAGAACCTCCCAGTCTTGGGGAGGCCAGGATGGTTGGTCATCTTAAATACTATGGAAAATGGAGTCAGATTCAGGCCCGGAAGTATCAGGCTATTTTAAAGACAGCAAGCAGGTGAAGGTTGAAAGCAAAGTCCTCACTTGGTGCTGGAAGGACTTCCAGTGGTTAGCACATGGCCAGAGAACCACTCAGACGCAACTCAGAGAAACGAGAAAAGGCCCAGGCGGGGAGCAGAGGTGCCCCCTGGGCCCCACGTAGCGCCCTGACCAAGGAGCCCCCTTTTGGGCCCCGTTCTCCCAGGGGTGCCCCTGGGAAGTTTCCAGCAGCCGTCCTGGGCCAGGCCGCACCAGGGACGACAGCTGAAGAAAGAGCCCTTTCAGATGCTGGCTCCTGAGCTCCAAGTTAAGCTTCGTGCCCTTCATTAGCCTTCAGGGGGGGGCCTCAGTCAAGTTTAGGGAGCCGTCACTAGAGGAAAAGACTGGTGGAGTACAAGCCTAGGCCAGGGGGCCAGGTCGGGGAAGGTGGGGGAAGGTCCCCAAGCACCACGTAGGACAAAGGGATGGGGGCAGGGATCTGTAGGAATCAGGGAAGAGGGTGAGGTTCCTGTTTGGGGGAGACATGTGGGGGGGCCCGGTACGCTACGGCAGCACAGTGACAGTCACCACGATGACTCTTCGCTCTGTCAGCAAACTCCCTTTCCTTCCCATCGACCTGTCCCGGCAGGAATCCTCTGCCACTGCCTTGCACTGGCTCATGAGACTGCTCTGTCAGCTGCAGGAAATGCTTGTCCACGCTCCCCGTCTGTGCGAGCTGGGCTACATGCCCCTGGGGCCTGGATACTGTCCCCGAACGCAGAGGTGTTTGGAAAAGGCCGGAAGTCCACCAGCACCCAGCTCCCCGTGTGTGGGCCGCCTTCCTTCCGCTCAGCGGGTGAGGATGGGTCGTCCACCGCCAGCTAAGAGGGAAGGCTTTGGGAAGCCACCGGAGGGCCGGTCCACAGGGAACACACAGGGGAGGGCTAGGAAGAGACGGAGCGTGAGCAGAAAGAAAGGGTCGTTAACTCCATTCCTGTTGGATGAGCTGACGTCACAGAGGGGCGCTCGCGTCCGCGGAGGGGAGAAAGGCCTGGAGGCCCAGGAAGCAGCCCCAAGTCAGGAGGGCAGACGAGGAGCCGGGCTGAGCCTGCGGGAAGGAGGGCCCTGCCTTTACCTGGAAAACACCCTGTAGGCTCCGCCCAGAGACCAGGGGGAGCCATGGGCGCTTTCCGATCGGCTGCCGATTGGAGAGACACATTTCCCATCCGCTTCTGGGAGGGCTTAGGTCCTTTTACCATGCCCTTCACAAAATAATGCCGCCACAACAGGCTTCTGGACAGGAGCTTTGTCATAATCGTCACTGTCCACAGAGACGTAACTCGAGGTTTCCAACGTGTCAGCCCCTGCTTTCAGGTCACCTGGAAGCTTGGAGCCCTTCCCCAAGGTCAGGGGGCCCTGGGGTGGCGAGGGGGGCTCTTGCAGGGAGGACCTCGTCCTCCCCCGCTGGTTGTTCCGCTGGCTCAACCCCCACGCAGGGGAGCAGAGGCAAAGGCTGCGTTGATCTTAGACAGGTTTCCTGTCCTCAGGGCAAGTTTCAGCAGCAGCCAGTGGTGGTAGCAGAAGAAAGAGTCTCCCCCGCCCCCTGGCCTTCCAGCCCAGCCTCTGGGGGCACCGGCTGCAGGCTGGGGGGCTTCTCCAGGCTTGTCAGCTCATACCCTTCCCCTTGGCCCGGGCTCTCCGGCCTCTCCCCAGCTAGAGCAGTGGCCGGGGGAGTAGATTCTCTCTCTGGGGTGTCAGCCCCTGCGACGCCACAGGACCGCCCCACAAAGCTCTGCTGCATGTCATGCATTTGGGACGCAGCTGTAGTAAGTGACCAGAGAGGCAGCGCCTGAAAAAGAAGGGAGAAAAGGAGCGCAGGTTCTGCTCTCCGGGGCCTGCAACCTCCCCGGAGCCTGCCTCGTCCCAGGCTCTGGCGTTTTGAGTAGAAAACATGATTTGGGATCCAGAACAGGACAACTATTGGAGACCAGAATTGGGTATTTGGGGGGAATGGACGGTTCCAGCTGCCGTAAGCTGCCCGTGTTTCTAAACTTAACAATGTAATAACACCGTTTAAATCCTAAATCTTTCAGGACGGCTCCAACCCAGTACTCTGGGTGTGTGTGCATCCGTATGTGTGTGCGTGTGCATGTGGGAATGTTGGTAGAAAGGCTTATTTTGCTCTCAGATGACTGGGTCAACTACTCAGGATTTAACCATTCTCACGTGGGCGGATGGGTTGCCAGGCTGGGGCGCGGGCAGGCGAGGAATCGGCCGCGAGGCCCCCGCAGAGGTCAAAGGCAGCCATCGAAACCCCAGATCGAGGAATTTCCACGAGCAGCAGCAGCAGCAGCCCTTCCTCTGTGCACAAACATCTTGATTGCATTGTTGTCGGGTTAATTTATTTTGATCAGAAGTGTTGACTATGGAATAACAGCGCGTTCCAGCAACCACCCACGTTATTTCCAGTTTCCTGTTGGACTGGGCCTCCTCATAAACAGCATGAAACCTGACATGGTGCGGGGGAAGCTCTGGAGGGGCCAGGAAGGGCTGGAAGGAGCCCAACCCCATCCCCTCGCCTCCTGTCCTTAGGGGGTGAGGGTGGGCGGCAGGCAAGCGGGGGAAGGGAGGCCGGATCCTGTGCCCCCAGGGTTGGCTGCACAGCGGGCCCTGGTCAAACCCTCTCTATACACTGCTGTGAACTCAGGGGTCGGCCACGAGGGTGTCACCTTCACAGTGACCCTCCCGAGGCCAAGAAAGGGAGTGAAGGTCCTGATCACGCAGCCCTAACCCCCAGATGCAGTGACGATGGACTTCGGGGAGGCCACACCCCTCCCGGGGCTCTCGGTTGCGGCCCTGTGGCCATGCAGTGGGTGCTCAATGAACGTCTGCCCAGGGAGCCCAGGATGAGAGGCAGAGCAGCCACCGCAAGCCTGTGTCCTGCCCGAGACTCATCCGCGCGTCATCTTCCCGCTGAGGGCTCCCTCCAGACCGCGTGGGAGTCGCGCCTCCGGCAGCTCCAGGGACCGGGCAGCGCCGCAGGCCTGGCGGTGAGCCCTGCGGCTGTCTGGGCCGCGCTGACTCTCGGCCTGGCTCCACTCCCCGAGCTCCGAGTCAGCAAGAGAAAGAAAACACCTCCCTGGTGCGAAGCTGGTGGGACTCTGGGCATGGGCGCGAGTTACGAAGGTGTGGGGGGTGTGTTTCTGAGTCAGAGTGTGCGGGCACCTGAAGCAGTGGGGGGACTGGATGGTCCCTCCCGAGAACGGGACCATCTCAAGGAGAGGTCAGACTTCCAGCTGGCACCTGCCCCTGCCCTGCCCTGGGGACACATGGCTCCCGGTGCACAGGGGGCACCCAGACCTGTGAGTCCTGCGGGTGCTCGCAGCCGGGCACACCCAGGCACACTGGGCAATCTCTGTATTCTTCCCTCTCTTTCCCTTCCCTCCCCCGCTGTGCACCGTTTTGAAACATTTTTCTCTGTACTGTCAGCTGCCGGTGGAGAGAATAAGTAGGCCCCTTTGGCTCTTATGGATCAGGAATCCTGCCAAGACTCCCGCCGAGGCCCAGAGGCTGGTCCTCGACGCCCCCTGGAGGAAGTCAGTGGCCAACAGCAGCAGGACCTAGGGGACAAGGGGAGCGTCACCTCCCTGGCCAGGAGCAATTGACCTCGGGGACATGCCCATCTCACAGTTGGGTAGGGGCTCCTTGGGGACAGGGCCCGGGTCAAGAGCTTCTCTGGCAATGGGGGCTTGTCCCTGTCTTTGGGGCAGCTCGTTCAGGGGTCTGCAGGATCGTAAACACACCGGACACACAGGAGGAGCCCCCATGGCACCCTGGCTCCCACTGGCAAGTCTGGGGGCTCTGAGAGGCTTCATCTCCTGCTCTATACCGTCCACACGCTCGTGTGAACTGTGTGCATGTGTCAGCTTTATAACACGACATCAAAAGGTGTCTGCAGAGCTCACCGTGCCAGTCGGTTCCAGTAAAGCCAGAGTCGCACACTCCCAGAACTAACTTCAGCATTTTTTCCAAGTTTTTGCCTCTTTAAACGTTAAGTTTGCTTTGCGGCCACTAGGGGGCAGCAGAGGAGCCTTCCGGGTGACCCCACGGGGCTTTGTCCCTCCCACCAGGTGGCTTATTTACATTGCTTTTCAGTTTTCAAATGTAAAACATAAATGTCTTAAAATAATTAAACTTGACATAATCCAGAGGTGATACATTGAAACGCTGTGTAGAAGACATGAGGAAAACTAAATTGTAATTCTGATGAGCTAAGTCTCTAAGGGCTAAGTGGTTGCGTGGTCACAGGTGGGTGTCATTTTAACTCTAGAAGATGCAAACAAGGAGGGCATCAGACAGGTTATTAGGAGGGGCTAGCGAGCCTAAGAATGCCCACGTTCCCCTGCCTTGGGCTCTGGGTGGCTTTGATCTGGGGCCAAGTTTTCTATTTTGTAAGCAGATAACAGACATTTTTAAGTAGCCATTAAAAACCAGGGCTCCGAGAAGCAGCCCACCAGGCCCGTCCTCCTCAGAAACCGGGTCCTGCGGTCTTTTGCTTTTGGAGCCCACCCCTCCCCCAGGAGGTGTGGCTCTTCCTCCACAACACAACACCATCAGTGACCTTCTGTTGGGAACCAGGCTCCTGTCTCTCTACCAGGCAAGAGCCTGTTAGGGGACAGAGGCCATGAAAGGGCCGCGTGACAGGGTCTGACACGGGGGGAGGGGAGGGGTGTTGGCCTGGGCGGCGTCCCCTGCCAGCCCCGAGTCCGCTTTCCTGGCTCTGGGGCGGACAGTCAGGACTCCACGCAGTGGGGCGGCGATGGGTCCACAGGGGTCTGTGAGTCAAACGGTGAGGGGCTGAGGGACGCGCCTGCGGCTGCCCCCACGGACAGCACGGCCATTCCTGCAGATGCGGCTCTAGACTCAGGTACTAATTCCTGGTTTTCCCACGTAATCACTCTGAACCCAGTGACTCAATGACAAGACAGCAGGAAGCCGTGAAGCGACCATTTCCCCTCCACGAGTGGCAGCCTCTGCAACTCCCGGCAGCTGGTGTGGAGACAAAGGTGTGGGGGGCCGGTGACAGGAACAAACGCCACAGACAGCAGAGTGGTCCCCGGTCAGTTCCGGGTCATCGGGGCCCACGTGGGCACTGGCGGAGGGGAAATTGCTTCTGCAGGGGGACCATAAAGCCAGCCGTCCATGTCAGTCCCTTGTGGGTGCCTGTGGGCTGGGACGCTGCTACGGGCGTGGACCCAGCTGGGAACAAACTCACCCTCACCCCACGGGAGGGCGTTACTGTCCTCGCTCCCAGGTGTGAGGCCGGAGCCCGGCCGAGGCTCAGGAACTTGCCCAGCGTCACACAGCCTTTCCGGCCCGTGGGCCCCAGGGCCGATGGGGTCTCGCAGCCCTGTAGGAGGGGACCGCGCCGCCCACCTCCCGCCAGAGCTGCCTCTCCGGCCCCTCCCATTTGCTCAGGACACCGTCCTGCTGGGCCTGATCCCAGTAAGTGTCCTTGTCTTTATTGGTAGAAAAGTGATGACCACTAGTTGCTGGTTGTTTTGTGCCCAGTTGTTTATTACTTCCTTTAATCTTCATAGAGACCTGGGCAGGTGGATTTCCCGAAAGGGCCACGGGACCGCTGTGGGCAGCCCTGTCCCCCACGTGCCGACGAGAAAGAGGTTCAGAGAGGTGACGGTCTTGGCCACAGCAGCCGGGGATGGTCGTGGGCGGGGCTGGAGTTCCACGCGAGCTTGTCCCAGTCCAGTGCCTGTGCTCCGAGACAGGTGGCCACACGGCCCTCTCTGCCGTCCGCAGACAAACCCGCACCTTCCAGTCAGAGCAGCTCTGCTCGCCCGGGGGTGGGGGGATACGCACGGCAGGCCCGTGGGCTTCGGGCGTCGCTGCTCTCTCAGCTCTTGGGCACCTTCTGCCTCTTCCTTCCGCTCACTGGGCAGTAAACAGCTTATCTCCTGCACTGGGTGAGGGGCAGCCGGGGGCGGCCACCACATCCCCTCCGGGCTCTTCCCACCGCCCTGGCCCCTGGCTGGAGCTCAACAACAAAGTGGATTAACGAGGACCGGGTGCGTATCTCACAGCAGGACTGTGATTATATTTCCCAGATGGGGCGACACACAGAGCGGCAGAGGAACGTCACCAAACACCCCCAGTTTTTGATACAGCAGCCCCATGGGGAAAACAGGGGGTCAGGGTACTGACCAACGTGCCTGTTCAGGGCAGTAACTCCTTTCAGAAATTTTCCTAAAACTGAGATTTCCCTTCTTAGCACACACACACACACACACACACGCTCGCACCCGCCACGGCTCCGTAGGCACAGGAGAAGGGAGGGCTAGTGAGGCCCGTCCTCATCGTGTAGAACTCGGCCATCCTGTTCCTGGAAGGGCTGTGCTGGACATCGAGGTAGCAGAGGGTGTATGTGGCCTCCACGAGCAGGTTGAACAGCCTCCAGTGGCAGGCACTGTCCACGAGGTCACTCTGCTGGGCCACCAGCCAGAACGTCATCACCAGCCAGCGGGCCCCTGGAGAGAGGTGGGAAGTCAGGGTCCCAGTGGGGAGGTGGGAGGGAGTGGGGCAGGGACTCGGGAACCTGGGCCTCGTGGCTGCCTCTCTGCGCCCACGACCCTGCCTCAGCACCAGGAGGAGAGGTCAGGGCACAGAGGAATGAGCGTGTTTTCTTTGTGCCGGTTATTTCATCTGAACCCCATCGAGGGCAGCTGACCTAATCCAGGGCTGAGAAAACCGAGAACAGCTCCCGCCACATTTACCAGACACTCTGGACTATGTATGCCCTGGAGTTCCAGAAAGGGTTTATTTAGACCAGGGGTGTCAGACTCATTGTCACCGGGGGTCACATCAGCCTCACAGTGGCCTTCAAAGGGCCGAGTGCAATTTTAGGACTGTATACATGTAATTACTTCTTAACGATGGGCAAGGAGCTCTGCATTCGGCCCTTTGAAGGCAACCTGAGGCTGATGTGGTCCCGGTGAAAATGCATTCGACCCCTGGTTTAGAGGTGCCTCGGCAGTCGTACTATTTTCCCATCACTCCTGTGAGATCTGTCTGCAGGGCAGCTATAGTTTTATTTTTTTATCCTCACCCGAGGGCATGTTTTCACTGCTTTTAGAGATTAAGAAAGTGAGGAAGGGAAAGAGAAAAACAGTTGTGAGGGAGAGAAGCATCAGCTGGTTGCCCCCCATCTGTCTGTACCTGGACCAGGGGATTGAACCCCAGACCGTAGGCAGGTGCCCTGACCAGGAATCAAACCTGCAACCTTTTGGTTACGGGAGGACGTTCCAACCAACCGAGCCACAGCAGCCAGGGCTCCCGCTATACTTTTTACTCCCAGTTTTAAGCTGAATAATATTTTACTGGAGTTTGAGCTGAATGTCAAAAAATGAATGGAAGAGTTAATCTCTCTTTAGGAACCCACCTTCTTCCAAAAATGTCTCCTTTCTGTTAACAAGTGAAGCGTATCCACGTCCGCCCCGGGCTCCGGTCTGGGCGTTTCTCAGCGCCGCCGTTCTCCGTAAACAGGAGGCCACTGCGTCGTCCTGCGGAGCGCTTTCCCCAGGACCACGGGGAGACCCCGCTGCTTGGACACAGGGGCACACCGGCCGCGCAGCGCCCCCGCGTGGCCAGGCAGGGCGTGGGTGAGGCTGGACTGAGGGTGACTGAGGGTCGGGGTCAGCGGAGGAGTCCCAAGCCCGGCCAGTGAAGTGGGGGGTTCCCGGAGGCTGGAACGCGTCACCGGACGCAGGGACACTGCTGCCCAGCGTCAGGGGAGGGGGCTCCTTATGCCTCCCTCCCACAGAGCTGGGGGGCTCTGTGGCTGGGCCGTTGGCCCTGGGACCCGTCTCCAGCGAGACCCCCCTCCTGCCCCCACCCCGACCTCCATGGGGGCTGCAGCCTCCTCCTCCGCCTCTGGACGCCGGCCTGGCCGACTGCCTTGTGGGGCACAATACAGCAGAGGTCACGTGGGGGCCACTGTGAGGACAGACAGTTTCCACGTCCATCCCTTTTTCTATCCGGTGGGTTCCAAGGGCACAGGAGGCGCCTGGGGGTGCGGGGCGTGTGAGGAAAGGTGCGGTCGGCAAGGCCAGCCCGCCGGAGCCTCCCTGTGATTCTAGACACCCACTGGGGTTGATGAGCGTGAGTGGTTATTGAAAGGCATTGACTCCTGGGCAGCCCGCCACGCAGCAATGGACAGCGGGGCTCAGGCTCAGCTTACCTGCAACCGCCAGTCCCCAGGCGTGGTGGGCTCTGAAGAACAGCGCCAGACTCAGGACGCGGGCCCCCACCACGCCCATCCTCCACAGCTGCTGGCAGGCGAGGGCAGCCCGCGGCGCAAAGGGGGGGGGGGCGGCTTCACGGAGCCCGCGAAGCCAGCGCAGCAGGCCAGGGCCCAGGACAGTGCGGCCCAGGAGCAGAGGGCACTCGCCCCTGCAGACAGCGGGAGCCTTCTATGGGGGGGGGGTTGCTAAATAAGGCGTTCGTTTCTGTCCCCCTTGAGAAGTGGGGCAGTCAGTGCTGGGGGGGGCGAGTCACCCACCTGGCAGGACATCTGCGAAGTCGGAGGTGAGGAAGGCGTAGGTTTGCAGCAGCAGCTGGGACCCGGCCTGGAGCAGGGCTTCCAGGAGGCGGAGGGCGGACAGGTCGGCCCCCAGGAGCCCCAGCGGGCCCAGGTGGGGGGTCGCCCCTTCCTTCCCCAGCACAGCGGGGGTGAGGTCCCAGTGCCTGAGGGAGGAGGGGTGACGGTGCGGAGCCGAGTGCAGTCTTGACCAGGATGGCCCCCTTTTCCTGGCATGTCGTTGGGACCTGGGGAACATGCTAGACAGTGGCCGGTCATGTCTGCACATTGGGGGCCCCGATCTCTCACTGCGCACTGAAGACACTGCCGCAGGGGTCCTGCTCACCCCAGCTGTGGGGCGGCTGGGGTGCGGGGGTGGCGGGCTCGGAGACTGGAATGGACAGGATAGCAGGGGGCTTCCTCTGAGCCCTGCAAGGGCTGGAGGAGAGGACATGTGTGCACAGGAGAACCCACAGGTCGCACTTCATCAGGCTCACCGCTTCCACACGCGGAGCTGCAGGAGGTGCAGCGCGACCAGCCCCCAGTGACCTTGCTGTCCGTCTGCTCGGAACCACAGGTAGCTCAGGCCCTGGACCAGGAAGCCAGGCAGCAGCACGCGAGCGACAGCCACGCCCAGAGCAGCTGTCTCGCGACGAAGTAGCAGACGGCGGTGCGGAGGCCTGGGCTCGAGGGGGAAGGGCAGAGGGTGAGTGAGCGGTGGACTGAGTCGGGGTGACCAGCCAACACTGTCCCCGCCAGGGCTCTGCAAGACCCAGTCCGGGAACTGCTGAGCCATCTGGCAGGCGAGATGGGCGAGAGGCTGAATGAAAGCAGTAGGGAGCCCGAGGTACAGGCGCCCCAGACAGACAGTGAAGGCGAGGTTCGAGGTCCCACATCACAGGCGCAAATAGTCCGCGGCACCGAGGGTGCGCTCCGACCGTGAGGAACCGCCTCTCTGCGCACTGCTGGGTGGGTTTCGTGGTTTTGGTCGGGAGGGTAGAGACGATCACAGGTTAGGGCCTGTCCTCCCCAGTCAGTGGCAGTGGAGACGGTGCTGCGTCTGTCCACACCAGCAGGTCCGGGAAGGTACCGTCGTCGTTTCATGTGACACTGGAGTTTAAAATGGGCACACACGCTGCCGCCAGTCGTAGCAGAAGCAGCCCAGCCCTCGTTACAGACAGACAGCTGCAGGTCTGGACAAGCGATCAGGGCGGCCATCCTGCGCCCTCAGGCTCTGTCTCCGCTCCACTGCTCCCCAGGTTTCCTGCCGCGGCAGCCAGGGCCCCCAGCACAGTCTTTGCGGGGGGAGGGGAACGCTGAGGGCCAGGCCACTCCAGATGGGGACCTTTCTGGGCCTGGTGCGTGCTGAGACCACTGGGTCCTGTTCTGCCTCTGCGCCGCTTGGCGGGGGCGATGCCCCGCCTGCTCAATCTGGCTCCTCCCGGCGCATCTTTGAAACAGCGGGCGCCTTCGGGAGACCCGCGCAGAGCGAGGTTCAAACCAGGAACCCGGAGCAGCAACTCGCTCCCAGTGGTAAAGTGGCAAAGCTGTGTGCGCGCGGGAGAGGGGGTGCTGCCCGGAGGGGGGTGGTTTAGGTGCGGTGACCTCCTAATGCGCCCCTCCTCCCCACTCCGGACCCTTCCGAGGAGAAGGCGTTGCAGGGAGCCCAGCGGAAGTGGGAGGAGGCAGGACTTCGGCACCGAAGGAGTTACCAATTCAAACCAGAAAGGCGCTAAAAGTGTTGCCATCTTGCTGCGCCTGGGCTGGTGCGTACCCAGCTCTCCAAGGGATCGGGGTGTCCCTAGTGGCCTCGCTGGGCTGTTCTAAACCCCGAGGCGGAGCCACAGACCTCCGGGGCAGCGCGGATGCCGAGACCCGTCCCACTCGACCCTACTCTGGCCTCCAAGCAGCCAGAGCCTCCGAGGCCTGCAGGGGTGGGCGGGGACCAGGGCGCACCCGGCCGGTCTTCAGCCCACCTCGAACCCGCAGCACTTTGCGGAGTCAGGAGAACTTTCTGAGGGAGGAGCGGGATACGTGTGCAGGAGGACCACGCACCCGTCGGAGTGGGGGGTGTTGCATCTACAGGAGGGTCGTGCATTCGCGGGGGGTCGCGCCTCCGCGGAGAGGGAGCCATGCCTCCACGAGGGATCTCATGCGCTCGGGGATCATGCATCCACGGGGGCTCAGCCTCCGCGGGGAAATTGGTGCTCCTGGCGTGTGTGTGTGTGTGGGGGGTCCCACGCTCGGGAGACCACGTACATAGTGGGAGGGAGTCGCGCGACCGCAGGAGGATCGTGCCTCCCGCGTCCGTTCGGCGCCCGCTCAGGTCTGGGCGGGCGCGCTCAGCAGGCAGGTTCCTGCAGGGCGCAGGCGGGGTAGTTGTCTGCTGGGGCCAGGGGTGGATCGTGCAGGGGTTGGGGTGTCGGAGGGGTTAGCCCCGCAGGCTCCCAGCCTTGGACTGCCCGGCACTTACCCGCGCTCTGCTCCGCCGCCAGCAGCAGGGCGGAGAGCCCCAGGAGCCCTGCGCGCATCCTCGCCGCCGCCGCCTCGCCCCCTTCTCCAGCTCACCCCCCTCCGTGCCCGGCGCGCGGGTCGGGAACGTTTGGGGCCAAGTCGCTGCTGCTGGGGCCGTTGGGGCAGGGCGGGCGGCGCCGAGGGGTCTGGCTCCTGGCGGGAGAGCGCCTGTAAGGCCGGGCCGCGAAGTGGGCAGGGGTGTCTCCTCGCTGTTCCCCAAACTTGGGGAAGCGCGTGGTGGAGTTGGGACTGCGGGTGGCTGTCTGGGGTGGTGGGCTGGCCAGGGAGTGCGTGTCTGTGGAGGGTGGGGGATCTGTAGAGCCCTCCGTGGGTCCTTTGGAAATCTTACAGAGGAAGCCGACCGGCTCTGTCTCTGCAAATTGCCCTCAAATCCACCCCTGTCTCTGCCCTCACCACGGGGCTTCTAGATACAGATGGGCGCAGGGTCACCCAAGACTCCAATCTGCAAGAAGTAACCCTGCCCCGGGAAACATTCTCTCCAGGGCGTGTGTAGCTATGAGGTCCGGCACAAATAACGCCCCCGCTTCTATTACAAACGCTTTTACTCCAAAATCACAAGCAAGTAATTCTGTAACATCACATCACACTCAAGCACACCATATGGCATTTTAGATGAAATGTTCAAGTTAAAGCTCTAAGTTATTACACTATTATTACTTTACCAACCACACTCAAGCAGGCCTTCCTTCTGCCGAACCCCGTGTGTGGTGGGTACACACTGATGTGTCTATATACACAGGCCTGTGTAGTGGGATTTAAGGGTTTTATGTAGGCATGGGGAAGATGATGGTGAATTTGGGGACTCTAACCCCCAAAGCAGGCAATTAGCCACAGTAGTCCTTGAGTCAGGGCCTTTGCCACTTCCCCGCCGGAGCTGGCTGCACTGTCACAATGCTCTAATTTTCCCCGCAAAACCCCCGCTGCAGGGAAGTCCCAGGAGGAGACTCTAACCCTTGAAGGGACAAGCGAGAGCAGGGCACTCGGGCGAACCTGTGAAATGCTTATGATTATTTTCCATTTACCAGAATAAAGCCAAGGGGCCAACCCCTCCGTTTTTCTCCCCTGTCATTCCAGCGTGGTTCTTCTAAAATGCTTCATTTAGTTGGGGGTAGTGTTTATCCATCCCAAGAGCACCCCCTGACCCAGTTTTCCGTGGACTTCTCAATGTGTTTCTGGTTTTCTCACCAGAAAGGTGAATTCTGACCTGGGACTCCCCTGGGAAACACAGAGGACAAAACCCTCGCGACCTTCCCGAGTCTCTTCCCTCTAAACCGATGGCAGGCAGAAGGGTGCATTTCGGAGGCCTGAATGCCCAGTCCTTCAGCTTCTCTCTCCCCCCACATCTCGGTGTCCAAGTCCCACAACCTGCCTCTTTGTCGACTTCCTACTTCTCTGGGCGCCCTGCAGAGGGCGTGTGTCCCAGGTTGCACATGCTCGGAGCAGGGCTCTCACCTGGTAGAAACGGTAAGAACTTGACGTCATGTGCAGACTAGGATTGGGAGGAGCGGGTGTTTATGGGCAGGGAGGGGTCATTGTATTCCATACTTTCTGCCACATTCCCAGTTTAGAAAAAAACGTCCCCCTAATCTCCAGGTATTACTTGAAGCATAGACAGCATCCCATACCTCAGAGGTTAAAAAAGCATCCAAGGAATTAAAAGTGTGGAAGGTGCCCTGCCCTGGCTGGTGTGGTTCAGTGGGTGGAGCAGGGGCCTGTGAACCAAAGAATTGTGGTTCAATTCCCAGTCAGTGCACATGCCTGGGTTACAGGCCAGGTCCCCCGTAGGGGGCGCGTGAGAGGCAACCACGCATTGATGTTTTTCTCTCTTCTTCCCTTCCCCTCTCTCTAAAAATAAATTTTATAAAGTTTGGAAGGGGGTCTTTCTCCTGGAACAGTAGCAGTGTGAATAAGAACTACAGTGGACGCTTTCTGCTCTGAAGCTACGGGAGGGTGGTTGAACAGCAGAAAACATCACGAAGGAAGGTGTTGATTGTCCCTGCATGAGAACCCCAACTCGGAAAACAGCGGTTCCCACCCCAAATTGCAGCCGGGGTGAAACAGTGGCAGACCGAACAGATGGCGGCGAGGCTGGGAGGTGCAGAAGTCCGGAGTGGGGGGTCGGCGTAGTCCACCTGGGACGCGAGGTTGGGCGAGTCACGGGGGGGAATGGGATCCAAGGTCACATGGTAGGTCAGATCATCCATCGCTGCAGCGCAAGGATGGAAACACGAGGTGCAGTAAAGCCAGCCAATCAGGAAACACCCGCCGTTGCCAAGGGAGTCGGCCACACTGACAGTTCCTGAAAGAGCAGAGCAGGAACCTTTGCTCCGCGCGCCCGCTGGTGCCATGGGAAGAAGTGGCAGCGACTCGTCTCCAGCTCAGCGCTCAGCTTCCGAGAGGAGAGCATTGCAGTGGCAGCCACGGCCCAGGAAGCAGGCACTCGGAATGGGTGACACACGGGGCTGACTTGAGTCCTGCCCAGCGCTGGGAGCAGAGGCCACCCCACCAGCGAGCTTGTCCTTGCAAGCTGAGATTCTGGGGATGCTTGTTGTTGCAGCAAAACGGGATAGTACAGATACCTGGGTCCCGGCTCCCCCAAGGCCCTCAGATTAGTGCTGAGCCGTGATGCTGGAATTCATCCTTGTCTGTCACTTTGTCCCACCTTGTGGTGTTTGCCAGGAATCTTTGGCTCGTGGCTTCACAACTATAGTCCCATGGCCCCGTTTTCCCCCTGTGTTTTCAGGTTGTCTTCCCTCTCAGGAGTCTGTCTCTGGGTCCAAATTTCCTCTTCAGAAAAGGAATGCGTATTCTTCTGTACATCCTTACACTGGATTAAGGCCCGCCCAGTGACCTCATTTTAAATCCCTGTAGATGCCAGGTTGTGAAACACAGACATCGGAAACAACTGCACACACATTCCAAGAAAAAGAGACCATTGCTGAATTCACCGTCAACACATTTAAGAAATGCAAGAGGTAAACCACTGAGAGAGAGTTCCTTTCCCTGGTTTCGTTGGGACAAGGATATCAAATGATGGTGCATGTGAGGTACTTGGCAATGGCAAGGTGAGCTGGAGCTAAACTATGTCCACAATTTGATAATATTGACTTGGTGAGGGGCTCTGGGGAACAGCCACCTACGACGGCCACTCCTCTAAGCCTTAAGCCCTAGAGATAACATCTCAGCAGAAGAGGGCCGGCTGGGCAGCTAGGGCTGACCGCTGGTCCAGCCACACTGACTAAGGAGCCCTGAGGCTGGACCAATCATCGGAGACCACGGTCCTGAGGGGACACACCTGGAGAGCTGTCGAGCACCCACGCAGATCCTCCCCTGAGACCTCCAGTTAAAATCCCTCAAGACGTGGGGCCCAGCAGGTGCTCTCGCTCTCCTGTGCCCTCCCCCAGCCCCTCCTTTCCCCGGGTGAATCCCTCTCCTTGGGGCACACCTGTGGCTTCCCCCGTCTCCTCCCTCCAGGTGTGTTCTTTGCCTCTCTCTCCCCTGAGCTCCAAGGGCCCTTCCTCTGCCTCTAACTTCTTTCCTGAGCCCACACAGTCCAGCGCGCTCACTTCTTCCACGGCTCACGACTTCAACATCTGTGACTTTCTGCAGAAACTTTTGCTTGGGAAAAATGAAAAAGAAATATCGAGCGACTAGACCCTGAGGCTGGAGGCTAGGATTACCCGGGTTGAGTTCTGATTAAGATGTTTTTGGTTAAATCCACTCCAACAAACACAGCACGTTGTAGGGTGGCTGTAGGATTAAGTGTTACGGAATCAGTGGAGTCGTATTTATGGAGTCGAAGTACCAATGGCATTCTTTTAAATATACATGACATATGAAATGAGAAACAGAGCAAAATACATCCATGTGAAAATACACAGAAAGGGGGAAATATACTCAAATGTTGAGTATATTTTTGTTTGGTTGAATATAATGTTGAGTTACTGTTGGTTTTCTCTGGGTTATGGGATTACTGGTGTTTTATTGTTTCTTTACATTCTTCTGTGTTATGTATTTTCAGTTACCACATAGTCCATATAGTCAGAAAACTTTCTGTAAATAAGATAAAATGTAAGAAATATTTCACAGTCAGGAAAAAGCCGAAACAAAGCTTACATACAATTCCTATAAAGATTTTTTATCAGTGGACATAGACGTCTACAGAGACATTGAAAGATACGCAGCCACACTGACCACGTGGGCGGGCAAGTCGCGTTTCTACATGGAAAAGCCGAATACTGGGGAAATGACCTTTCTTCTAGAATGGATATATGGGTTATTAAAAAAGAAAAAGAAAATTGGAACTTAAAAATAAGACTCTGAAAGTATCCAAAACCAATTAAGGAGAAGAGAATTGCTAATGAATTGTTTAAAAGAGAGAACGTGTAGGGGCGACTTGCCCCCCCCCCCCCCCAGTTAAGGTCCAGGGGGGACTGAGAATCCAGTGCAGGGTCCCTTGTTAGTACCAGGATGTTTGGACCTCAGGGGAGGGTGGCAGGCTGGGCAGGCAGTCGCTGAAGGCCAAAGCCTCCAAGAAAAATATTCAATTTTATATTTTTATGTTGATGATCATCTACGCTTTATTATAACCTTATTTCAGTCCATGCAGATTTACTCATTTATTCATGTATCTGATGGGTGCTCATGGGGAGCTGCCGCACGGGGGCGCTGTGGGATAGACAATCAGCTCTTGCTTACCCAGTAACTAAAGCTGAACACCGATCAATAACTTCAGTTTCTGAGTTTGCGTTCAGTTCATAATCCTTCGGTGCTGAGAAGCCCGACAGAATGATTTCGTCGGGTTGGGTCCTCTGCCTGCCACTGGTGGATTGCTATGTCTTAAAGCCCAGATGTCAGAAAGCAACCCCCTGACCCCTGAACACCGTTACACTGATCGCGCATCTTGTACCGCGTGATGAATTCGCCGAAGGTGGATCCACCATGTTGCCAGTGTGCCGAATAGAGGAATGTTTCACAATTCTAGCTGCACCATGCCTGGATCATTTTAATTTCGCTGCTGCCACGTTCCCAAATGTCTTGTCTAAATTTAAATGAGGAACTCTTCCAATGCTCGATTTTGTATGTCCATATGGATGGTGGCCCGTCAGTGAAGTCCGTGACCTCCATTTTCGCAGGTGAGGCTTACCTGGACTCCTGCCTGGGTTCCTGCACCAGTGTCTGACCTAACCCCCCCCCCCCGTCCCGGTGTCCGACACACCCCATCCTTTGCCCCTGGCGGTGAAAGGAATCTGCTGAATTGTTGTGGACACAATTAACGTTGTAGGGCAATAGGCCACTAGGGATCCTTTATTCAGAGAGTTGGCTTTGGAAAATTAGATGATGCCGAATTGAGCATTCCGCGATTTTTGGTTTTGAGAGCAAAATCCTATAGAGCCCGGAAGAGCCTATGTTACCACAATTTGCCACTAGATGGCGCCCCGAGAAGGTCAAGTGCTCACCCTGCTTTCCCTGGGATCAGGCGGAAGGGACCCTTAAACGGACCCTTCCTGGAGGACCTGACCCAGCTGTTGAACCTGCTGTTGAGGAGTGACACGCAAGTGCCGTCAGGGAATGTCGGGGCTGAGGACCTGGGGCTTCAAACGCCAGGTAGAGGAGCGTTGCCAAGAGGGTCTGTTCACGGTCCCTCTCCAACGGGAAGGTCGGGTGGGCGGCCGGGGGGCTCGGGTCCCTTCGATGGCCAGCCTCCAGCCAGGCCGGCTCAGGAAGAGGCGCAGGCCCTCCTCGCAGGGCTGCAGCTTCTGCTCCTTTGCCAGGTAGGGAGGTGACAGAGCTGTCCCCTGGCGAGTACTGAGAGGAGCGGATTTTAATAGATTCCCATCGCAACACAGGGGAACGACTGGCCTTTGCAGCACAGGTGCAGGTGGGGATGTTTCAACCTTCACTTTCAAACCTGCCCTGGAGAGTGAAAGCAGGGCTCTGTGACCCGGTCGATCAAGGGCCCGCTCGGGTTCTCTCCGACTTCTCCTTGGCTGTGGGAAATGCTCGGTCATTCTGTTGCTCCTAAAAAGAGTAATCGTGACCCAAAGGAGCAGGTGCGATTCTGAAATCGGTGCCTCCTCCCTCCCTCTTTTTCTTCCTTCTTGTTCGGTACTTTTCATTACTTGTCCTCACGTGCTGTGAAGTCGTCGTGAATTACACGTGGATTTTAACATCACCTTTGTCCACGTGGCTTCGTGCACAATTACTCTTCCCTCCACACCCTCCAAGGTCCCGGTTCCCAGCGGTGGCCACGCTCCCAGTGATCTTGGCATCCTGCCGTCTTTGCAATGTTTCCAGGGTCAGCCTTTTTGGGGGCTGCACGGCCCTGCCCACCCCTGTCCTCTCCTACACGTGTCCTTTTCCCCTCTTTGCACGGGTGTGGAGGCGACATTTCTGTGTGTGGCCATCGCTGAGGCTGCACTGGGCAGAAGGCAGGCTGTGCCTGAGAGAGGCTCGGGGCTGAGGAGTGGCCTTGGCGGGTGGACTGGACGCTGGCTGTTTTGCTACCAAGGATCTGGTCAGAACACTGTGGCTGTGACTGGGGTTAGGCTACCTCGGCAACTTTCACGTGGACCACCTACTGGGTGACAAAGGACCTCAGAAGATAGAGGCTGGGGCTGTGCCTCAAAGGGGGGCTGGTGGGGAGACTCGGAACCTGGACGGAGGTCCCACACCAGTGACTGGGGTGGGGGGCCAGGGCCACGTGGAGACCCGGCAAATGCAGCCCATGAAAGGGTGGGCTCAGGAACCCGCAACCCAGGGGAGGCGTCAGGGCTAGTTAGAAAAGCGCGGCCAGAGGCCCTGCTGCCTGGCCAAGGGTAGCTCTTCTGAGAGAGCGAACACTAGGTGCCCCTCCTCCCGCCCAAAGGGCCAAATAAGAGGAAGAAAGACGGGGCAGTGGGGGTCCCTTCTTCCCAGCCTCCCAGACCCTGAAGCTCGGGTCCAGACCACAGCAGGCAGGAGAAGACCCTCCAACAGGACGTGAGGTTGAAATTTCAAAACAGGTGAGTCTGCACCTGAAGGGCCAGAGGAGATCTTTCACTAAAAATCTAAAAGTTACTAAAACATCACAGAATCGGGCCGAGACGCTGTTTGTTGGCAGCTTTTGGAAGAAGAAACCGTTCGTTTCAAGCTCGTGACCCACCAAGTGGA